TTCTCTCTATTAACATAAACACAATGTTCTAGAAAAATGTCTAAAGAAACTTTCTAGTTGTAAACAATATAAAATTGTAAACAATCACTTGTATATATAGAAAGAGAAATTTTAATATAAAATTCTTCGTTTAAGAAAACGAATTTAATGAATTTTCAAAGCTATAAAGATTCTCGAGATTCGGTAATTTTGTCTCAACATGCATTCAGTAAATTATTCCAAACACTAAATTAAAAAGGCACCTTTATAATGTGTATGCACATAGCAATCGAGAAATTCAATTAGCAGCAAATGTAGGGCAGAGTCGGGGCTACGTGCCTTGAAATGTTTTGGACATGTTTCAAAAAGGCCAAACAAACATGTGGCAAAAGAAATTTGAAAACGTATTTAGCGGGCCAAAGGAAAATAAATGCAAATTGCGATTTAGACTACAGCTGCCTGGAAGGTAAAGTAGCACGTCGGCCGACCTTATAGAAGCAATCACTGAATAACAAAGAAATAAATAAATTTCCCAAGCAATTTGCCAATGCCTCAAATGAATGATGGCCGCATTGAAGGGTAGAGAAAGAGAGAAACTGGGAGAACTATGGAGAAGTTGCTGCAGACAGAAAGCTGTCAAGAGCTATAGCTACAGCTGTAGCGCCCACACGCATCCACATGGAATCTAAACACACTTATATATAATATTGCGTATACGTGTGGTGGTCCACACATATAGAGACGATGTGTGCCGCATCAAAATATGCGCAACAACTGGACACCAATACGTGTGGCCGGCTACCATATATATATATAGCCGAAATATATTTATTTATATATATACATATATATAGTCACATATATAGATATTTATATACATATATAAACCATAATTCCAATGAGCTGGCTGCTGACTGCGGGCCGCTGTCCGACTTTGATTCTAGATAAAAATTGTGGAGAAATATTTTTTGGTGCGTTTCTCAGTTATTTCGTGCCATTTGCTACGAACGGTCTGCCGATTCCTGCAACTACCCAAACTGTGTGTAATCATATAGAGTGCATTGATATAACAGACCTCAAACAATATTCATAGCTGTGCTCCACAATTGACTAATTGGTTAATTATAATTTTATTTCTCTATTAAAAATAAAATCCAGCAAACAACAACAACAACAACAACAACAGCAACAATAACAAAATGAATGAAGCCAGAAGTTTGTTTACCACCTTCTTAATCCTGGCCTTCTTGCTCTTCTTGCTCTATGCCTTCTACGAAGCCGCCTTCTAAATTAATTATGATTCGAATCTACTAGTTCAAGGATATATGCTTACATGTTGAATTTTGAATTCCAACAACAACATTTTCAAATATGATACAAATAAAAAACAAATTTACTTACCGACTAGGATTAAGTCGCTAGCATTTAATGGATTTCTATTAGTACCCTAAGTCAGGTAAGTCACAGCCAAAATAAGAATCATCATAATACAAAAAAAAAAAAAAAATCAAATTATTGCCATCGATCGCAAATCAAAAAGTATTTTCCTATTTATAATGAGCAGTTCTCTGACACTAATTATTTAAATTAGCAAAAATGAAAAGCTGAAGACACACATACTATAGCTCAGCATAGATATAGATAGCAATAGCTATATTTCATGATTATGCTTGGTTTCTATTTTTTGGCAACGCTTTCCAAAGTTGCGACAAAAAAAAGAAAAAATAGAAAAATTATTTTCCAAAAAGTTTTCAATTTTTTTTAGCGACATGCCTGACTAGAGATCTAACCTACCCTGCGTTTTATATATATAAAACACATGTATATATAATTTGTTTATGTATGTGTACATGTGTATAAAATAGCTTTTGAATTATTATTGCAGCGTGTGAGATTTGTCAAATGAATTCGACGTGATATTTTGAGCGTTGATCATATTTTGATTTCCTTTAGATTTCTTTTTTTTCTGAGCATTTCTGAAAATTTGCGAAAATGCATAAAAGAAAATTTATTTATTTCTTTAACAAGTTTTGTTTTTTTTTCTGCAATAAAAATTGAAAATAGAAAAAGAATTTGCATAAATAAAATTTTATTTTAGCAGAATGTATTTAATCTGAAGAATTCTACTTTTTTAATCTCAGCTAAAAATAACATTTTTTTTTAAAACACATTTGCTGTGGCCATTGTTTATGTGTTTTACCCACTTGAATGCGAAGAAAAGCCATTATAGTATATATTTAAAACAACAAATTGAATTTCAATATTGGCTGCCAAAACTTAACATTTTCCCTTTTCAAATAAATTATTTTGGAGGGCGGGCAATAATTATCTCATTGCAAACTAAATATATACTTTGCAAACTAAATATATTTTACTGAGCCAGCCAGCTGCCCATGCTAGTTGGCATGCTTGTAACAAATGTATTCTTATTGGACTCTGATTTCCCGTAGATGACGTCAAAGCTGCAGGCCATAAGAGCAGCTGCCCGGTTCCATTTGGGGGCTCTGCGATTGCCAGAGGAAATGTGTGTTCCGGTGAGTTCGATTTGATTTGAGTACACACACACATATGCAAATAGTATAACATATTTATATTTATCTATGTATATATTGCAGTCATTCGTGCAATCCAATTGGAACGTTTGGGACACTCACAACTTTTATAGCCTGCTAGGCCTTGGCGTCATCTGCTCTAATCATAAATATTAACAGGCAACAATTTTGTTTCTCAATGGAATTTATTCAATTAATTATTAATTGACCATAATGTACAGTATAAGTGTGTATAACAACAACAACAACAACAACAACAGCAGCAGCAACACGAACAAGCAACAAGCAACAACAACCAGCTCATGGCGCACATAGGAAAATTACGAATTTCATTGTTTAACACTTTGCACATAATATGTAAGATCTTTATTTAATTCGATTTGCATTTTTTCGTAAATAACAACAAGACCAACAGCTGCACAAGCAACAAAATGCAACAACAACAACAAAAATAACAACCAGAAGCAGGAATAAAATAACAAAACGCAAAAAAAAGAAGAGATTTTATTCTGTCTTTCAAATAATAAATAAAGGGAAAAATTAATGTAATGTAAGCGAAGTAAGTATATTTCATTTATTAGTTTTATCTGAAGCATTGCTGGCAATTAGAGTTACAAGATTAGTTAGTTTCGGTTGAGTTATGAAGCGAAGTTCATGGAACTAAGTTTTCACATCAGTGAAATGAATTTTGGCAATCTTATGTATCATAATGAGTATCATAACTTTGACTGCCTGAATTAAATTACTCAACCAAAGACGTTTTTTTACGTTTGAAGACAAATTACTTTGCAGCTTTATGAGACATTTGTTATTAAGTTTAAGATTGTTATGGAAAAAATGCCATTTACGTTAAGACGCTGCTCTGAATCATTGAGAGATATCCGAATTGCGAAAGGATCTTGGGCTGCATTAATAAAATATCGGAATGATACAAGAATTCAGTTCGTGTGCCTGAATCGTAAATCTGAAAGCTATATATCTAGCACTATTCAAAATACCCTTAAAAATGAGGTCAATTTATCGATTATTATCGATACAAATTAAAATTGCTAGATCAACTCAGCTCGTCATCCCGATCTATAAATGTACCTATATGTACATACATATATATTTTATGAGATCTGCCACGCCATCATGGATTCATAAATTTAATATATGGTTTGATTATTTAATTTTATAATTATTAAAATTGTGAAGTAAATAAATTCAAGCATTCAAAATCCAAAAAGTAAAAATGCATTTAAAATAAAAGCAATAAAATGATTTAAGGTATATGTGATCAGTTTTTGGGTGCCGGAAGCTATATGTAATTTCCGTTTATGCCTTTGATTACTTTTACAGCGCACACCTTTGATGGCCTCACCTGTTCGCCTCACTGATTACGCTTTCGTTTCAGACTAATTGACAAATGGCATGAATGTTTCATTAGTCTTGGCAGCCATCATAGGCTTCTCATATGAGAAGTAGTTGCCATTGGCTATGGACGAAGAGACTTTCAATTTAGCTATTTGTAAAGCAAAGTAAAGATCTGTAAAAGTTTCGTCTATACAGCTGATAAAATTTGGATAAAAAGATGTAAATATTTGAAATGCTGAAAGTTCGGATTGTTAATAACAGGTATTTCATATATTTTTATGATACTTTTTTCCTTATATTTATCGTAGTATAATATTTTTACATTGCTTGATTTGATATCTCGCAGGCCTACTTTAAATTACATTTTTCTTTCATCCGCACTCGAATCTTATTGCACCCTTCTAATTGCTCAGTTTGAGGCTTGTAAATAACATTGAAAAGCTTTACAGGTGTCCAAGCCCCAGTAATTACAGCGCCCTTTGGGCCATCCATCAAATGCTTTAGAGGTTAGCTGCCTCTGCCGTACTGCCTCAGTCGAAAAGTTGCATGGTAATGTCAGCTTGCATAATTGGGGGCACTGTCCACTGCAACTGAGAGAGGCCGTCACGAGTTCCATTTGACGTTCATTTGCATGCGGATGCATGTACAATAATTCCAATTTGGGTTTAAGCCAAATTCAAACAACGTTAGGCCTCAAGAATGCCAACTCGATGCAATGAAGCATGGCTCTCACATGGCTCTTCCGCCCGCTGGTCAAGACCGGTTCCACGACTCCTCTCTCTCTCTCTCTCTTACTGCAGAAATTATGCAATCGGCTGGCGAAAAATTGCTGAATTTTTATCCGGTTTTTTTTTACGAAAAATGTTTACAGTTTATATAATTTGGTTAATGTTAAAACTAGGCCTCAATATTTACAAGACTCTTAGAATGTACGTTTTATGTGCGTTTGCTGCAATTGGCTCGCAGCATGTCATCTAAGTCAACTTCTTTTGGCTCAAGCCCTCGAGGCGCAGTCGCCGCGTCAACTTGTGGCCAATGAGCATGCGCAGATGCTGCGGCACCATCTTCATGAAGAAGTACTGCAAATGGGAGATGCATTAATCAAAGTTAAATAGATAATTAATAAATTGCCTCACCTGCAGTCCGTGCGTCCAGAAGCCCGTTGTCATGCTGGTCTTGCCCAGCGTGAACACGGCGGAGCGTGCAAAGCTACGGGCATTGGGTATCAGGAAGCCGCCGCGCATCACCGAATTCGAATACTCATTCATTTTGGTAATGACAAACATGGGCATGACCAGCTGAACGGTGACATTGTACTCGGCCAGCTCCTGCTCCAGGGCCTGGGTGAAGTAGCTGACGTACTTCTTGCTGGCCGCATAGACGGCCATGTTGGGCATCGGCTGCAGTTCCGAGCCGGAGCCAATGTTGACGATGGCGCCTCGGCGTGCCGCCTTCATTTGCGGCGCGATCTTGCGGGTCAGCATGGTGACGGCGCCAATGTTGATGGTCAATATGTCCCAGATGGTGTCCTCCGGCACCAGATCCAGTGTCTCCGGATAGTCATACATTCTGCCCACATTGTTCACTGCAATGGATTCGGAGTGAGTTATCACAGGGTTAAGGCCAGAGATGCCTATCGGCCAGCGGAACCTTGCCTGCTCTTTTGGCAAGGTTGTCTCGACCAAAAATGTAAATTGCTGAAGCGCGTCAAAGCGTTTATGCGTTCGCCAAACCAAATTCGACACAGAAATTATTTAGATGTACTTGAAAATGTTTGAAAAACTGGCCCTACCACGGCGAGCCAAAGAGTCATCATAATTGCACGCCATTACGAGTAGCTCTGCTCAGCTTACTACTTTTGTCAATGGCATTGACAACAACAACAACAAAGCCCGAAACATTAATTGCTAGTGTCACTCGTCATGCGGTTACAAACGGCTACTGTTAGCCAACAATGAGTTGGCTACAATCTCGCTCGAGAGTTGGGCGGCTGCCTCAGAGAGGTTGTTGATGTTTCGCGACTGAAATTCGATTGAAGTTTGAAGTGCATTGAGTGAGCTTAGCCTGTTCAAGTGCTTCATTTAGAGTTTAAGCTTTGAGCAAATTAATCAACTAAAATTTGTTTAATTTTCCTAATGATCAACGAGATGTAGGAATTATAGGAAGAGAAGACAATGAATGTGGGTAAAACCTTGATATTCTAAATAATTCCACGTTTAAATGAATTTTTGTTTTAGGTTTCAGAAACATAAAATGTATGCAAATATAATATTAATAATATATAAGAAACGAAACCTCACGCTATACATCCGAGGTATAATTGGTGAGAAATTTTTCGTTCAAAGTAAGATTCTGTAAATATTTACTCTGCGAATTCCTGATTGCTTAAGCTCTCTCAAAATAAAGAACCTGCTTTAATATAATGACATATTAAATCTAGATTTTAGTAAAATAAATACTCTTGATTCTTATTATTCAGCAAATGAAAAATTTCTCGAATCTGTCTTAACTCTTGTCTTTGTTCCCTCTAGCATTTCATCATATATCTGCTGTGCCTTTGAATTTGTCAACCTAGCCACGCGCATTTTCTCGCAGTGCACTCCACTTACCTAGTATACCGACTGGTATGCCCGCCAATTCCTTTTCGATTTGCTCGTAGGCCTCACGTCCCTTGGCAAAATCAACAGCAATCCATTTGGTTTTCACCTTGTGTTCGCTCTCTGTAAAAGTTGTTTCGCGAGTCAGCATCAGCTCAGTTATATGCAGAATATGTTTGTTCACTCACCAATCTCGTTGGTTACCGCGATGAGCTTCTCCTTGGTGCGTGAGATGAGCACCAGATTGAGACCTTGGCGCGCCAATTCCCTGGCATATTCCTTACCGATGCCGTCTGTAGCACCGGTTATCACTAAAAAGAGAAAGGAAGGTATTTTAATTATTCTCGGAATGGAGGAATACTCAAGAGACTTAAGCAATTAGTCCATGGTTTTATTTTTCTCAAAATTCATCTTCTCTTTGCTATGAAACCGTTTCAACAGGTTTCGCGAAGATGATGAAATGAATGAATGTGTGAATGAATGAATGTATGAATATATAAATATATGCATGTATAAATGTAGACATATGTATATGAATGTATGAGTTTATTAATGTATAAATATATGAATGTTTCAATCAATGCAAGCTTTCATGTTTGGAATATAAATCATTTGAAACTAAGCAATGATATTATTTCATCATATTATTTGATTTGTGTGCAAACATTGTTAGATTTGCATGCAACACATTCAGTTACATTTAGGCAATAGACTACAGTTAGCTGCATCACACACCCTTGCTAATTATCTAAATAATCAGTTTATTTATTTGGGCGTATTTGTTATACCAGTTAGTGGCCATTATCTAGCCCAAAGCAAATACACATATGACTGCCACAAAAATTGGCATAAACACTGAAATACAACACATCGCTTGCTGCTGATGTTTGCGATCAGTTGATGTTGCTGTTGCAATGAGTCAATGCAACTGTTGCCGCTGTGCGACTGCGCAACTGACCAACAGGCGGCAATTGCTGGCACCGTTAAAATACAAGTTGTTGTAGTTACTGCTGCTGCTGCTGCTGGTGCTGGCGATGTTGTTTTTTAGCTGTTGGCCACATTTGTTGCCAAATATTTGTGCAGCGGAAATATTGACAGCGAATGGCAGCTGCAACGGGTCGTGTGTTTTGGCTCCAGCTGAATGAATAGCTCAACAAATGTGCACAGACTCTTAAAAAGTTTGTTTAATATTCGCCAGCTGTACTCGAAATTGGGGAAAAACTATCAAGTAAAACTCATTGTAGTCAAGGTCAAAAACACTTGAGAATATTCCGAAAATAATATTTATTAAACGTGGGTAACAATTAGAAAGTGAATAAGCGAAAAAAAAGCTACTTTGCCTTCATGAGTTAAATATTGTATTTGTATCAAGGGAAATATAAGAAAACTTTTATACTTGCTGTAAAATTGAAAATAAAATTTTAATATATTTTTGATTATTTTAAATGCGCTGTTTCTATCAAATTTTGATCAGCATAGAATTAAGATATTAATATATTAACCATGCCAATGGAAGTAATTAATCCAATTATTATTCTTCATATACA